AAGTGTCTCTCACTTCTCCTCCCACCAATTCTCTCTCTCTCTCTCTCTCTCTCTCTCTCTCTCTCTCTGATTCCTGATTCGATGTTTTCAACTCGTGTTTTAAGTATTTAATCGATCTCTATAAAGCTGTTCCTGGAAGATTTCCGTGGTCTGTCTCAGTTTTGGCATTCTTTGTAATGGAAAATCTCACTCTTAAAACATAGACTCGGACATATTTCGTGATCAGTAAGAAAATTTTAACGCGAAACATGTTTGACTTCAACCCTTACAGAGTACTAAAGGTACGATGTACGCGCCATCTTTGCAAACACGTGGTCAATATGGCGACTGAAAACTTCGCGCGCGTTTTACATCTGTTTGTTTAGACTGTAACTCGATTTAATGTAGAATAGTAAACCGACTTGAACGTAAATAACACGTTTAAAAGTTTAATTTTGTAATTTTATTTGAATATTTTCAACTACTCTCGACACTTTGTTTTGTTTTTTTTTTGCATACGTGTTTTGGTCTAAATCGTCCAACGTCAGTGACTTATCCATCCGCCATCGAATGAACATCATTAGTTATAATTTCTTTGATTTTTTCCCCTCATAGTTTCAGAAATTGGTCTTGTTTCAGTTTTTAAGCATAAGGCAACCTAACTTGAAAGCTCCGTTCGAAAGCCCGGACTGTACCTCGCCATTCTAATTTAACTGGTACTGTGCCCGTGGGTGTGAACTCCAGTTGTCTGCTGTTTTACGGGCAAGCTGAATTTCTGTTAAATAATTTAGCGATCGTGTCGAAATTGTCTCTCTGGCTGAACCGTTAACATCAACCCAGCTCAAAGTTCACGGAATAATTTGTGGAAGTCAATGACGAACCAAGGACACATCGTCTGCAAATTTTTTTTGTACTGACATTGGACTTCGGGATTTGTCTCTTGTATGTTCTTAAATCGAATAAGACAGGGATTTGCCAAGTGAAATTAAACTAGCGGAATTAATTACAACCGGTAGATGATGAATAAATATTCAGGATACGTATTTGAAGTTACGTGACGTGGAATTTAAGTTAAGCGTTCTTTTAAGTCTTTCAGGAAAATGTCTTGGTGATGTATCTTGATGGATATTCTATAAAATATGACTCTGGTGAAGGAATTTTCAACGTAGGCTAAAGCCTTCCAGGTTGTCAGCCATAAGTGGAAAGCAAGATTTGTAGGATTGGGAGTCTGTTTTATTTATCCTTTATAATTTCTACGAGGAAGCTGTTGATTAAAAGTGGTTTGCTGTTGGGGACGTATCTTACCCCTAAATAGCGATGATTAGATGAAACAGTTGAGGTATGGTTTACGTCATCACCCCAGAATTCTACTAAAAGTCATTTACGTTCTGGGGTGTTTTGAAGTTAACGTTGTAGAGTGTTTGCATGAAACTTTAAGTTGCGCGACTTTGAAGTTTCGTCAGAGTTTAGCAGAGGTATCTTAGCAGTATTTTGTAGGATTTCCCTCCGCAAACTTTTGTTGGCATGATTTTAGATCGCCTGCCAGGGTTAGTTTAAATATAAATGCACTGCATTGCCGTGGACAGACGTCGAAGTCGTGCTTCGGTTTATCTCGTGTAACTTTGGTTAATTCTTGGAAGTGTGAAGGCGGAAACGCGCACGGACGTGTTCGCGCATGCGTAGTACTACGTAGTTTTTGTTTGAATTGTTTTTTTGTCCACCTGTCGAGGACTCGTACAGTTTCTTAACCCTTTTCCTGGTACCCTCCAGGTTGCCCCCCTGTTCCGTCAACTGTTCGGGGAGTCTGCGTTCTCAGCATCCCGTCAACACGAACAGTTTCTTTTCACAGCAAATTCTCGTAGTCTGTGCTCCTGACGTCGTCAGAATCGATTCGGAGTAGATGGATGTTCGCAAATACCCGCGACCTGTGACTTTGAACTACGCATTCTCGATGTGAAATGGGTACCGAGGACTCTTTTGCAGGTTGTGAAGATGTGAATCGTGGGGTAGAACACTTGAATGTGCCAGTGTTTCTCTGCGCACGGGCGATTGTGCTATGGGGGTTTCTGTTCAGCTGAATCCGGAAGCAGACTTTTTGGTATCTCGGTGTGGTCTGACTATCTGCTAGGTCTCAAAAGGAACTCGCTGTTTGGTCTTCGCGTTTTTCTTGGCCGCACAGAACTTTTCTTCCGGTCTAGCGGTTAGAAC